ATTTTTCACAGCTGTTAATTCTAGGGGATATGGCTGAGAGTGGAAAGCAGGATTTTTTATGTTCTACATATAAAATGATGACTTTTTTACAGTGCACAGGCATTATGCTATGAATTTTAAAGCGAGTGATTAGGAAAAAAAAGATTGTTGGAATAGATCAAACACAAGGGTATGAACTGGGGTGAAGTCAATGAAAAAGAATGTGGGGATTCCTGAGAGGAGGTGCCTGCTGCCATTAAAGGGAGCCAGTGACCAGAAGGATCTAGGGTATTTTGTGAGAAAGCAGAGAGAACATGGCAGTCAGGAGGAATTCCTCACTCTCCGTCCTGCTCCAACCTCAGGTACTCTTAACACTATAGTCACACTGTTTCCAGTGTCCTGAGGAATGTATGTCCCTGGAACACTTCCAGCTAGAAGGTTCTAATGCCGTACACTAGCATTCAACAGTGTTACCTTTTAGCACAGGGAAAACTGGGTTGAAATGTATATTTTTAGAAAGTAGCAAAAGTGAAGTTTCCTAGACAAAACCCAACTGACCATCCAAAGTGGCCAGCACCACCCCTGACCAGCCTCTACATCATCACTGTTATAAGCAACATGCAATTTCATCCATATCCTCTCTCTTTCTCTTTCATGTACACTCAGATATAAATAGCTACATATTTATTTTACAAAAGTGGCATAATTCTAAACATTGAAGTCTGAAACCTGCTTCCCCTGCCCCCATCACCTGCCAGCGAAATCATTCTAGAACAACACTCATTTCTCATGTCTTGTTATAGTTACATTACAGTCCATGTTTAAAACATGCTCTATCACAGATGCTGGTTGGTTCCCGCTCACCACAAAACCTTAGCTTGAAATAATCCACTGCAAGGTAAAGTTCTTAATGCAGTTTTGACCTCCCATGACCCACACAACATGATGCATGTATTTTAATCATGCTTTGGGAATTATTTTTAACAAGGCATTAAGCTTTCATTAATAGAATTCAATTCTCAAAGCGCCAGGAAGCACAGTGGATGGAGAATGGTAGCTGGGGAAATGCATTTTATAATATTAGCAGAGTCCTGCATTTAGTTTGACTGATGTCTGCCACCTGGGTGGAAACAGTCACAGTGGGCACTTCTGCTGGCCACCCTGAAGACTGCCAGCAGCTCTGGAGAGGAGAACATGGCATCTTGCCAGAGGTCAGAAGGTGAGTGATGATATTACACCTTGATGACACAGTCCCTCTGTGCTTTGGCCCAACCCAACTGTCAGGCTAGGAGGGAGACTGCAAAAATAGAAGCTAGATGATAAATAAAATCAGATTCTTCTGTGCTAAAACACTGCCGGGAATGTTCAGGGCGGAACTTCAGCTCCATGAGAATGTTACCTTTGAAATGGGGAATACTGGAGAGAGCTGGCAAGTTCTCTGCCTCCCAGAGCAAAACAAAACCCAACAAAACCATCTGACTCCATCTTAGGTGGCATTAGAACTTTTTACGTCCACTATCAAAGGAGGAAATGGAATTATTAGCAGCACTCCTCCAAAAGCAAATGTGTTGAATACCCCGCTTGTTTACCAAAACCAGAATTGGTATTTATGTCATTACTGGTCATTGCCCACCTCCCCAATAAAAGGAAAGTTCCATAAATATGGGGACTGTGTCTTTACTGAACGTTCTTGTGCTTCTTCCTGATGAGGGAGGTAAAGACAGAGGCATTTAAAAAAAAAAAAAAAGTAAAGAACTGATTTTAATCAAAATTGCACTAAATTCTACAGAGGGTGGGTTTCAGGAGATTGGGGGAGTTTCTACAAAGAAGAAAGGATTGACTTAAATTCTGAAAGACACACAGGAGAGGAGGGGGGGGTAAAGGTGCTTTCCTGCAGAGAAGGGCATCCCAGGAGGCTGAGCACAGAGCAGGGAAGGGAGGAGGGCCCAGCAGCTGTGGCAGGCAGAGGGAGGCTGGGAAAAGGTGCCAGAGGGCCGGGGCCAGGCAGCGAGAGATGGGCAAAACCCCGTCTGTTTTTGATCCTCAGGGTAATGAATACCCTTTGGCGGGTTTTCAGTAATGGAGTTGCATTTCTAAAATATGATTATGAGATCTTCTGAGTGGTGAGGAGATGGGAGGAATTTAAAATAGACTTGAAGAGAACAATTAGAAGTTGTTACTGGGACTTATGCAAGAGATATTAGTTGGAACTGGGGAATCTGATGGACAGAAATAGACAAGAATGTGTTTAGGAAAAAGAGTAGGACTTGACATTATTTAAATGTAGGGGGAAAAGGAAAGACCCACTGAGATGAAGTGTGTGGCCTCCAGAAGGCACAATGGCCACAACAGCTGCTCACTGAGAAGGGGTTCAAACGTAGAAGGAAAGATCATGGACTGCATGGGTCAAATTCAAGAAATTGAAATCAATAGCCACTAACCCTGAGTGCTGGCCGAGGAGGTCAATGCTATGCTTACATGAACCATCAACTTTTTTGCCCTCTCTTTACTTTTCCTTTCTATATTTTATGTGTGTGTGTGTGTGTGTGTGTGTGTATTTACGGCAGCCTTCATTATTTTTTTAAAGATTTATTTATTTATGCATACAGAATTGGAGTACAGGCCAGAGGTGCAGGGGTGGTGAGAGGTTTCACCAGAGACAGAGTGGGGAGCAGAACAGGCCGACTGATGAAGTACACTGCTGAGGGGAGCAGCGGGCGGTCAGGAGAGGTCTACCACACCATGTGGGTCACCTCTGGGGCGGGGATCGAACTTATGCTGAAGTGGCTTTAGCTTCTTAGTGCGGTGCTTTAACCTGCTGCACCACTGGGGAGGGCCAGCAGCCTTCATTTTTATACAGTCTATGCTTTATCAGCTTGAGTGTAATGCCTGTGAAACGCTCACACCAAGTCACCCATGTGCCATCACCACAGCTCTTGTGCTTTTCCCCCTCCTGCTTTGATTCCACTCCTCCCCCTGCCCTGCAGAGTATCTCTGATCTATAGTTGCCTGTTGTTTTGATTTTTACTTTATTATAATTGATAATAATAAAACATTTTTTCTTGATCCCTTATTTGGGTACTCTGCATTCCTCCTATAAGTGAAACCAGCTGATATATTTTTTCCTCCTGATTTATTTCACTGAGCATGATTCCTTCCAGCTCCATCCATGTTTCTGTGAGTGGCATGAGTTTATCTTTTTGATTGCTGAATAGTAATCCATGGTGTATATATAAAACATCTCTTTGATCCAGTCTGCTCGGAAAACAGCATGGCTTCAAATGAACTGGATCATTCCAGTGGACTGTGAAGCCAGGTCTCCCAGGAAACCTAAGCCCCGCTCTCAGGGCTGCAGGAGTGTGTGTTCACATCAGGAACATGAGTTTACACTTTCACTTCCTGCCTGGATCATTTTCTTCTTTTTTTTTTTTTTTCACCCAAACCCAGAGGTTACCACCAGCTTCCCTGACCTGCTTATTCTGCCCTCTCCAAGTCCTTGTAGTATTTTCAGCATTAGCACCTCTGGCCATGCTCACATATAGGCTTCCCATTTCCATATAATTCTACTTCCTTACATTCTATTATCTCTAACAAGAGCTTTTATATACCGCATACACTACTGCCTTAAAAATCTAGCAGGTACTAAAGTCAGATGCTACAAACAGACTAATAAATGCCATTTGCCAACCGTGTTACAGTGTGGGTCTGGCTGCCGAGTCTGACTATACATGCATTCAGCTAGATGTCCTCTCAGAACAAGAGAGTGAGCACAGCTTACATAGAGCAGGCTCCTCACCTGCCAGTCCACTCCACAACCACCTGGCCCACCCAAGGAGGCGAATCTGCTATTCCCCCAGAAGTTTTGGCCCCTAAAAACCTTCCCAGGGTGAGTTATTCTCTGGGAAGACTCTGATTTTAGTTTTGAAGGGGCATGTTTTAAATAAGCTCCCATCTCTCATTTTAGTCTTCACTTTTCCTATTTCTCCATGAGAAACAGCTTCTGTATGTTGGGCAACTTGAGAGACAGTGAGAGATCATCCCTAGTAATTGTGATAATGTGTAACAGGCATCCCGCTTTCCTTTGGGAACTACCCTCAGATGTGACTATGCCGGTTGCTGCATGTTTTTTTTTTTCTTTTTTTAAATTTGTTTTTGTGTAGAAGAACTGGACTGCAGACCAGAGGTGTAGGGAGTGGGAGGACTCACTGGAGACAGAGTTGGAGCAATACAGTTCAATCTACTAAAACACGCTGCTGAGAGGAGCAGCAGTCCAGACAGGAGAGATCTGCTGCGCCATGTGGTCAGCTCCCTGGGATTGAACTCAAGCCCTAGCAGTGATAACACTAAGATTGAACCTCTAGGCCACTAGGGAGGCCCCATCATCCAGTTTTAAGCAGCACTCTGCATTTATTGCTGACTTCTAGTGAGCAGAAATTGGAAGTGGTGTAGCTATAACTGGTAAACACGTGTGTTTAGCAAATGAGGCAAAGATGGAAATTACTAGAATCCCCTGAAGTCAAGTAAGAACTAAATGATATAACAGGAGTAAAATAAAGACGTGGCCCAAAATACAATCACTGGAGATTTTAGAGTCACTTTATCCTTCTGGAAAAGAGGCTTGACCATCATGTGTCCATACCCACATCCACACATAACGATCACAATGATACATGGTCAGGTGAAGAACATGTTCAAACACAGACATTTTCATTCTGAACCACCTCCGCTGCCACTGGGCAGATCTACGGATTCCTGCTACTCAATCCCATCAGAATTTTGTCCACGCCACTGGTATAAAACGTAGAGACCTACTTTCTACTTGACTCTGGTACCTCTTACCATCTGATTGGTAGGCAGGCCTTAGAGAGTACCTGAGTGAAAAGGGGGTTCTATCAAGACTGGAGAGTGAGCCAAGAATCATAACCAGGTTGTCCCCAGGGAAGAAAGGAAGACACTGCCCAAAGCCACCCAGTGAGCATCCCCAGCCTGGTGCTCTGCTGTGCACGCTGGTTTGTCCTTACCTATCCAGAGAAATGCAGCACAGGTGAAAAATTGATGCTGTTGTGAGCAGCACATCTAGCGATGTCCTGACCAGGCAAAACATCTCGCCGTAAACCCAGATGTCTTGAACCAGCTCAATGGCGCCAAAGGGCATGACCAGCACAGAGACCAGCAGATCCGCAAAGGCAAGAGACACAATGAAATAATTGGTTTTTATTTTCCTGTGAGTGAAACAGTATAAGGGGGAGGGTCGAGGGAAGAAAGGTGAGGAAAAAGGTGTCAGAATGGAAAGAGGGGGAAAGAGAGGCAAAGAAAGAAGGGGAAAGGGGGGGAAGAAAAGAGAAGTCAAATACCACTGTGCGTTCAGCTTCCCCTTCCCTCACTTTGCTGGAAAGATCCTCCCAAAGCTCTCTCTGTTTCATTCTCCTCTGGTCACTTTGACTTGATTAGATAGCCCCATGTGTGGGGCCCCCTCCCAAGGTCCCCCTAAGTTGCAGCATCCTTGGGACCCAGATCTGTCATTCTCAGGGAACCTCCCAAGATGCTGTCCACAAGTGTGGCCAAATCCCCCCACTTTACACTCTTCCACTGGCATGTGTGTCTCACATGTGTCATCTATCAGAATCATGTGCCCATGCGCCAATCCTAGATTAGTGTCCATCTTCTCAGGGAGAAGGCCGTCATGAGGTAGGACTATTTCTTTTATCCCCCTCTGTGGCCTGATGACTCACTCCAGACTGCACTCTGGAATCACCCAGATCAATTAAAATTCAGGGGCTTTGGGAGGGGGTTATATGAAACACATATGCCCAGCTCAGACTGAAGTTCACATTAACAATGAGTAACTATTTAGCATGTCTCAAATGTTGTTAGAACATACTTATACTGCACTTTTGTCACTTTAATAAGGTCTTCAGTTGATCTAAATTACAACCAGGATTGACACTGATGAAGCAGAAAGAGCCAAAGACCCAGATTCAAATCCTCAGTCATTCACTAGGCAGACACCTCTTCCCAGAGGCACTGGTGAAGTGGGCAGTTTAGGTGAGATGTGCCCTCAAAAAGTATATACAACGTGATAAAAACTATTAAAAAAACAACAACAAAGCTGAACATGGGGGGAGAAGCACTACAGAAATGTATTTAAGTGCTTACTCAAGTCATGTGAAAAATCATAGTATTATGTGTGATCCCCCTCTGCCACCCTCCCATGTATCTTCTTTCATAACTACATAATTTCAAATTATCCTTTCATAAACACAAATTGTAATGGAAACTGTAAGTTGATACCCCAACCTTCCTGGGTGAGCCCCCAGGTCTCCTGACCAGGCCCCCAGTTCTCACCTAAGCTGCCTGTCCCTGCACACAGCCACCATCACCAGCAGGTTCCCCAGGATGGTCATCAGGATAACCGCCGAGAGGAACGTGAGCAGTACGACCTTCTCCACTGACCCGAAACCCTCCTTGGAACTGGAAGACACACACAGTACAAAGAAACAAACAAAAAACACAAAGAATTGAAGGACATTCTGAGATACAGAAAATAAAGTTAATCTTGATTCAACTTCAGGAAGGTAACCTCAATATCAGCAGCGGCCAGACACATTTTGTGCACCTAATACATGCTAACACTGCTCCGTCACCATATGTGACCCCAGTGAGCTTCCGCAAAATGAGGATGAGACAGGTCAGAGAGGTGAAGTAACTGCCCAGAGGCTGCACAGCTATTCACCATTAGAGACCCGGAGACTGCTTCAACCTGTGCTCAGAAATGCAGTTGATTGCCATCTGTTTGGTGCACCTAAATGCCTAGATTATAAACTTTGTGCAGAGAGGCCCTCAGCTGTTTTATCCAATGACAAATTTCATTTCACTGCACCATTCACATTTGGGGAGGAAGGAAAGATGGCAGTGGATGAGTGAATGACAGTAACATGTACTGGGTCTGCAGGACTACGTACAGGGGTTAATTGGATTCCAGCCCTGTAGAAGTTGCTGTGTGTACAGGTGGGCTCTCCGAGAATAGGTCCTCCCTTGAAAGTTGACCTTCAATAGTTAACCTGGACAGATTGATGTCAGATTCCATGAATCCATTGGAAAAATAGTAGCCAGCCAATAAGCCGAGGGCTCCTTTCACTGCCTCAGCCAACAGCTTTATGGTGCCCAGTAAGACAGATCAGGTTGGTGTTCTTGTTCATTTCCCTACAGGATTTAATTCTGTAAACCCTGCCTCCTGGAATCTCAAAATTTTATTTTACTGACTTCAAAGTGAGTGTACCTTATTAAAAAATACAGCATATCCTCTGCAGCTACAGGAAAAGTTTCCTTTTTTTTTTTTTTTTT